CTACTCATTATTATGGAAAAATTCTTTCAACAGCTTTTTAAACTCTAGATATGTAAAGGACTGATGATTCAAGTATTGTCCTGCAGATGATATATCTTCGTTTTTTACTTTGGAGAAGAATGCAATACTTTATAAAAAAGAAGCTTATTGTACAACCGCTTATATCAAAGTTTATAGTATCACTACATATCATCAAGTAATGTACTTTTACAATATGGTAAGCTTATGCGGATAACGTGGTCCTTTTCTCTCATTTTAATCTAACACACGTCGGAATCTGCAATAAATCACAAACAAAGAAAAGACTCAAGTCGACGCCATAATTAGAAAATACCGACTGATCCTCAGGTAGTTGAACAGATATCTTCTGTATAATCTTATCTACTGATACATAATTTTCATAGTCAAATGCTTGTGAACGTAGCTGTTCTCGAACTAATTCAACCCCATTTCAATCTTCTTTTTGCCTTCGGCGATTTCTCTTCCATCTATGAAAATGAATTTACCCTTAGTAGTGCTGATCTTCCACACATACATGACGATAACGCTCATTGTCAGAAAATTCTTGATATAACTCTTTAGATGAATAACAAGAAGCGCAGCTTGAACTTCACAAATTAAAATCGAAAAATCTTCAGGGGGGCTATTCTTGCTTTGGTGAAGACGAGCGCAAATTGCAAGTACACAGCTATCAGTGAGGTTTTTCCAGTCGCGAAGGTATGTAATATATCAGTAAACATCCAATGAGCTTTCACCGAGTATTAGTAATTCAATCTCATCCACTGGAAATTCAAAATAGTGATTAGGGCTTGTTTGTTAACGTTAGACAAACTTGAGAACCATTCAATGAATCTGCGGTAAAACTCGTTTGACAATGGATCGCCCCACTGCATATCAACTAACTGCCAGATACACTCCAAAATTGAGCGTGCTCAGACGACAAAAAACTTTGCACTGATTGCTGTGTAACACAAATTTAGAGTTCGCGGGTGACTCTTCTGCTTACAACCAACGTACAGTGACGTGCTTCGATCGAATAAGGATAACTTGCAAAGCGGTTTTCTGAGTTTTCGGTGAGGTATGGATTACTTTAGCGTTTCTAACTCTGGCTTTAGCAGGTTTTAGTCTTGTTTCCGTACTTTTAATGAGCCCATAATTAATATCCATGTTAAATTTAATCAGCGCGGCATAAATAGAATTGATCGATGGCTGTTTGACAGGGAGCGTAATTTGCGCTAGTCGGATAATGCTTGCCCTGAACTTATGCCTGGTATCAGGAATCTCATTGATATCTTATCTGTAGTCGATTTGCCGCAAAAAATACAAAAAAAGTGTATCAAGAAGTTCTAAGTTGACCTGCGAAAATCTCCTTCGACTCCAGTGGACCCTGTCTGTTTGTAATTTTGGGAAGTGTATAAAGACAAATTAAAGGTTGTGCAGCAATTTGGGACCAACCAACAGGAGGGGGTTCGCAGAGACTTTGAATTTTATATAAAATCCTCTGCTCACGCTCAGCGTATCGGTGAACTGGTCGCATTTGATACCAAGAGCAGTTAATTTATCCGATCTGCAATCCTTCGATGTCGGCGGATACTGCGTATTTTTTTTTTCGGAAGCAAATCAAGACAAAAAATTTGTTTTGCAAAATTTCGAGACCGACAAGGCAATAGTCATGTAGATTTTTAATTTGTTACTACTTCCTGTCCTTAAAATTAACCTATCGGTGACGTGGTCCCAATTGAGACCAATAGCACTCTGGTAACCATATTTAGATAAACATTCCGTCGACGTCTGCGTATATTTTGCTTCTTAGGTCTCGAATGCGCCTTAAGGCAAATAATAGGCTTTGCTGAAGATAGTGTACGACAATAATGGAGTAACAGAGACTTTGAGTTTGCAATTATTTAACTTCTCTGCTAACAATCAACATATCGGTGACCTCATCTCATTTGAGATTAATTGCAACCTAGTAACTATATCCAAATAGAACATTCCTTCGATGTCTGAGAACATTGCGAATTGGAGCTCTCGGAGGTGTATCAGAACAAGTATCAGGTTTTGCAAAAGGTTGGGATCGACAAGAACAAGGTAACAAACATCTTGATTTTGTGACGAGCGACGATCGAATCAATGACACGGTCCCAAATGAGGCTGATCGCAATATAGTTACCCGACTTGCATAAACAATTCTTCGATGTCCGCGAATATTGCGTTTTTGAGCTGCGGAAGCACATTAGGACAAATAAAAGGTTTCGCAAAAAATCGCGATTGACAACAAGGGTTAACAGAGAATTTGATTTAGAAATTAACTGTTCTGCCTGCAACCAGCGTATCGGTGACGTGATCTAATTGATACCAATCGCAGTATAATGACCCGACCTGCAAAAACAATTCTTTGATGTCGGCGGATTCTGTGTATATAAGCCCTTGGAAGCGCAGTAAGAAAAGTAACAGGCTCTGCAGCGGATTGGAACCGACGAGAAGGGGTTAACAGAGACTTTAAAATCAGATTAACTCCCCTGCTCACCATAAGCGTATTGGTGACCTGGTCCCGTTTGCGACTGATTGCAATTTAGTAATCTGTCGTGCAAAAACAATCCTTCTGTGGCAGAGAATACTGCGAGGTTGAGCTCTCGGAAGCGTATTAAGAGATAACTAACAGGTTTTGAAGCAGATTGATAACAACAAAAAAGGTTAACAGAGCTTTTGAACTTGAGGTTAACTCCTCTGCTCATCCTAAAGGTATTTGTGACCTGGTCCGGTTTGATACATATGTCAATTTAGTTATGCGACCTGGAAGACAAACCTTCGATGTCGGCAGATCGTCCGTATTTATAATCTCGGAAGTGCATCAAGACAAAAAAGTGTTTTGCAAAAGATTGAGACCGACAAAAAGCGAGTACCAAAGATGTCGAGTTTAAGATTATAACTTCTTCTCAGCACCAACGTATCGGTGACGTGGTCCCAATTAAGATCGATCGAAATCCATTAATTGTACCTAGATGAACATTCCTTAGTGAGTTTTTTAGCACGTCAGAAGCTTGAAATTGATAGGAAAATTGTTTCATTTAGCTCAGTCAGAGTCGTTTCCAAGCGACAGTAAAGCTCTAAGTAGCGATCAGCCCGTCAGAAGTCTAGCTGAATAACTTCTTTCTCGCCATTTAATGGTTGCAAGGGTATCGTGTGTTCCACAGGCCGTTTCAGCCTGCTCACTGCCGTCGACTTCGAGTCCAAGCATCCAATTTTCTCGTCTTCCTATTTCAAATGCATCACCATCAGTGAGTTGATCGTCTTCGGGCAGTTATACAAATTGAGTACGCTCTCTTGAGATTTCGTGGTGATCTCCGATGTAGAATTGGATGTATAAATCATTTCGTCTATGGACACAAGTTCCTGCGTCATGAGGATCGACGTCTGCAATGCTAGATGCCGAACGCGCACTGTTATCTGCTCTGATAACGGAACTTATTTTGTAGGCTCGGCAAAAGACCATGTTTTGGTCATCTAGAACTGGAATTAGCCTGCTACGGTGATACTCGTTCGTAAAGGAATAACTTGGAAGTTTATTCCAACCAATACTCCATTTTTTATTCAGTTTTAGGCTTGAGATAACTAACAGACAAGATCTTCCAAAGCACGTTTTGCACTGTAGAGCTATCGCTTAATGCTCCTCCGTTAAAACCGTAAGTTCCGACGCTAACGATCTCGAAGCGCTGACACCGAACCGTTATTTGTTCTTAGGAAAAGGCTGCGTTACGTGAGCTGATACGATTTGATGAGATTTTGATTACCGTAAGCGATACGCACGTGCTCATTCGTATGAAAAAGCAGTTTGTACCTGTTGGCTCAGAAAATATGTGCCAACATTGAATAAACGTAAAAAATTGCACAATCCATCAGAAGTTGGCGATGTTGTGTTGATAATAGATGATGTCAGTCCCCGTGGTCATTACACATTGATTGGCCAGAATTATAATTTTGGATCTCAGCAATGTTGACGTTGCGCGATCCGCTGTTGTACGAGCATCAATAGGCGTGGCCACTCGACCGACAGTAAAACTCGCAAACGTTTTAGCAAACATTTAGGAAAGGAAGATGCCAGCGCTAGCTAACTCAAACTATTCATGATTAGATTGGTTAAACTTAAGTCATTTCGTGTACAAATTTTGGGTCATTTTTTCAGAAACAAAAAATTCTAAAACAAAAAAAAATATTTTAACTATCGTTACTTAAACTTGAACTACTTTAGGTCTAGTTTCTGTTTTTATTCAAATAGTTTTAGATGGTGAAAAGATTTTTATTTAGTTTTCTAAAGATTTTTGCTGAAAACTGAACCAAAAATTTGTACGAAATGAGTTGAATTAATAAATTCACTCAATTTTTCAACAACCGTTTATCCTTGTCAGGAATAGCCAGAAAGGCACGTAAAACTTGAAAAAAAGGTGAAAATGGAATAGAGCCCGAATTTATTTTTCTAACTTTCATTGTGAAATCACTTATTCATAACAACTCATAAACCAGCTAGGAAAATTGAAGGCTCTTTTTCCTTTTCCCCCCACCTCACACCAACATGAACTTTATTTTCTAACGAGTAGTTTTACAAGACCAAATATGTTAGCCATGGCCTAATGAGTCTGCATGTCAATTGTCATGACAATTGGACAAGGTGAACAGTAATTTAAAATATAAAAATTTGCAGGTGGGGGTGGGGAAGGAAAAAGAGCCAAATTGAAAATCAAAACTTAGGGAAAATGAAGTGGCGTCTGATTTTGACTTGACGATAAGGAAGACATTTTTTGGGCTGCCTCAACTATCACGTGCTCAATTGGTTACTTTCACTTGACTGACTCTTTGACACCTAACAAGTTGACTTCGAAAAATACTGAAAAAAAACTGAACATAGCTTCTACTTCAAAAAAGCGTAGTTCAATATATAAAAACAACTAACCGAAAAAAAACTCCAAGAAACTTAAGGACTAATACATTTCACAAAGGCAGAAATGGGAGCATACCCGACTAAAGAATCGATTGCCTCCAACTTCTTTGCTGATGCGAAGGAGACTACGGGTGAGTCAGGGGCGGAAGGACAGCCCCCGTCGCCCTCTAGCGGCATCGAGGATTCAATGGATGCTGCTGACAGGTATACTTCATGTAACACGGGCTCTTCTCCAATTTCAATGTTGTTTTACGTGCTATAACGGCTTTATGCGGGATTTTACGATGTGAAGTATGAAGACAAAATCGGTTCACACTAATTGTTAGTTTGTTTCACAATGCCAAATTTCATGAGTTATGACCATGTTAAAATATTTTATAAAATAAATGTGGGGAAAAGTGTGGGGAAATTCAAATGTGGGGGTAAAGATGGAAAAGAGGGTATAGTTTCAACCCTCATAACAACTCCACATCTATGGTTTCATTTACACGCAAAATTGCCAATTTTCTGATTCCATTCGATGTTTTATAAGCTGTAAAGCTGCAAAAAAGCGACTTCAAAGACGCTATAAAATTTTTTTTCTAAATCTAAATAGGTGATGCAAAACAACCTCCTTTAAAGATAACCTTAATTTTAGCAAGATCTTTAAAAACATGATTTTTTTGTAAAAAAAACTTTACACCAAAAAGACTAGTGTACATTTTTTTTACCAGTATACACTTTACCAGAAGCAAGAAGAAAAATTTTAAATACATGAACAAATCAACTTTAAAAAGCAAACATAACTTCATAAAATTAAGAAAATAATTATTTATCGGATTTATGTGAACACATCATACAAAACATCTCAAGCCAATTGACTCTATTCATCAAACTTATGACAAAAAAAATGAATTTTAACCGCTAGAGTTAAAAAACTAGATCATAAATTCGAATAAAGTCAAGTAAATATAATTTTGAAACTTTAAATTTGAAACGAACAAATTATAACGACAATCTGAAACTATTTACTCTAAGAAAAATGAAAAATCAAATTATATTTAAACATTTTTAAAAGTTGTTTAACCTAATCTTTTTTACGAGATTAAACTCAGAGAATTCTTTGTGACCTTTATCAAATTGGAACTCCGTATTTTTTTCTGGTGCTCAGAATAAGGTTTCGTGAAAATTTCATAGTTGGCTATCTTGCAAGATCTTGCAAGTTAACTTCATTCTTGCAAGATCTTGCAAGATAACCTCACTCTTGCAAGATCTTGTAAGATCTTGCAAGATAACCCTCATTTGCAATAATCTTGCAAGATCGACAACCTTTGCACGACAATCGAATAGGGTTTCAAATGTGGCCAATGGAAAGACTGGCCATTTTCCTGTGAACCAGCGTTTTCCAGATCTTTCCTATAAAAACAAAAGAAATAAAAGAATTATTAGAAAATAGTAATTGCGGTAGAAAAGTCAATAATGTGAACTTTTGGATTCTTTTTGCAATTTTTCCAATCCTTTCTTCTTTTCTCGAAAACAACCCTGCCAAACCTGACGCAAACTGTGAATACAAAAACTCTGTGGTACCAACCTTCACTGCCTGAGCGGCTACGCCCTAGCATAAATTCGAATTTTTCATATTTTTTTTATTCTTGTCGGAAAAAAACAGGTTTAATGAAAATGTTAGCGATTGGATTTTCCAATTTTTTTGAGTTGCTTCGAAAAAATGTTTGGTTTTTTTTCAAACATTTAGTTGTTCTCAAAAACTAAAAAAAAAGTTTTCAACAAAGTGGTATCAATGCAAATACCGCCCACTCCCCTGTATGCCTGCATAATTCAATTGTCTCTTTTTACTTTACTTCATTTTCCTTTGTCTTTTTTTTCACCTTAGTCTGTTTATACCTTCATTTTCTAGAGCCTTCAAAAAAGTGTGTGGGTGGAAATTTTGACCCATATTTTTAAAATTTTTAGTTTTCTCAAAATACACCCCCAAATTTAAGATTTTGTTTTCAATCGGAAAGGCACGTTATGGCAAGGTCCGCTGAATAAGCGTCTAAAAACATTTTTGGCTCTTTTTTCCTTTTCCCCTACCTGCAAACTTTTATATTGGAAGTTACTGTTCACACTGTCCGATTGTCATGAAAACTGACATGCAGACTAATTAGGCCATGACAAACATATTTAGTCTTCATAATTAACCTTGCAAAACCACTCGTCAGACCACAAAATTCAGGTTTGAGTGAGGTGGGGGGGGGGTAAGGAAAAGGAGCCCACTTTTTCAACAAAAAAATTATTAATCTCGGAAAAGTTAATATTTTGATTTTTTGACGTTTTTCGATTTTTTTTTTTGCATTTCTAATAGTTTCTTCTTTTACACCGTTGTTTGAAACTTTTGACTTACCTCGAAATCTGAGTTTTTCATTTCCATCAAAGTGAAGGGTTGTGGAAAGTTAGGCTCTTTTCCTCACCCCATCTGCAAATTTTTACATGTAAGTTTGTTGACGACCCTATCCGATTGTTATGAAAATTGACTTAAAGACTAAAAGGGCCACGACAAACATATTTGGTCTTCATAAACAACCTCGAAAAACCACTCGTTAGACTGAAAAGTTGAAGCTCGTATGAGGTGGGGAAAAGGAAAAATAGAAAAGCAGAAAGAAAAGGAAAATTCCATGCATGAGCGGCTTGACCCAAAATTGTTTACATCAAAAAACAATGATCCTCGGAAGGTCAAAATGTGTTTTTGGCTGTTTTTTTTCACACTTTTGGCTCTTCTCAAAAACTACTCTCCCTAATCTAGGAAGCTTCCATTAAAAAGTGGCTATGCCTGGCTTTTTTACGCAATTTATGTATTTGGTGATGTCAAGTTTCTGATTTTTTGATCGTTTTTTCAAATTTTGGCTCTTTTCCAGTTCCCCCTTTCAAAATACCGAGTTGTATGTTTGTTTTACGTTTTATTGCGGCTAAATGCTTGATGTTACGCTGTGACGTTTGAAGAACAAATCTATTCACAGTTGTCATAATGCAATGAAATTTGGCGTGGTGAACAAATTTCATTGCATTATGACAACGTTAAAAAAGTTTTCCAAAATTGAACTTGAAAGGGGGGAATTGCAAAAGAGCCCAAGTTTTTCGAGTTTTTTCGATACAAATTTCCCAAAATCTAAATTTACGGTTCAATCATCAAAAAAAACGTTAAATGGAGGTCACCTGTATAAGCGGCAACATCCAATTTTTCCGACAAAAACATACAGCCCTCAGAAAAGTTAATGATTTGATTTCCTGTCTTTTTTGTAAACTTTTCAGTTCTTTCGAAATAAAATAGTCTGATATCAAGGGTTTAATCAAGCCAACAGTCTGTGGGAAGACATTGTGCATAAACGGCTGCGCCCTAAAATGCATTAAAATGCATTAAAACGCGTCAGTGTGAACAAGTGAACAACCTTTCACAACCTTTCTTATATGCAAAAGGCCGTGTGAACAATTTTTGAACAGCTTTATTTTGAAACTTTACGAGGGGGTGGGAAACTGGAAAAGAGCCGAAGGCTTTTCTCAAATACTACCCTGCCAAATTTGATATTAAAAAAATGGGTGCTACGAAGTGAGTGAGCCGATAATCCTGGTGATTGTTTTCTTCTCGCACGCAATGTTAAGGTGCGGAAAAATAAATGCAATCAATCTGCTACAGTTCAGATAGGTTCAAGAGTCGCCCGCCCCACCGCTAAGCTCACTCCTTTAATCCGCTTTTTTTTGGGTGGATGTTGTGAAGCGAAAAGTAAACAAGAGTAATTATCGCTTACAATAAATTTGTCTGGTCCTGTTTTATTGCCTGAACTTGGTTAAGCTCAAGCGACTTTAAATTATTCTCTTGGATTGATTTTTGGCTGAATTTTTACTGCACTGGTGTTAAATGATTGCGATTGAAGTGAGATAATGAGTTTTTTATGGTTTCGACACTTATTTATGAACGTAATTTTATAAATGGAATGTTGCCGATCGAAAATTTTGACGACTTTTTTTTTAGGTCGATCAGATTGATTTTCCGAGCTCTCCCAAAGCAGTAAAAAGACCCTGTTTCGGCCAAATTTTCAGCGCCGTAGGCAATTTTTTGAAAAAACAGGTCAAAAAAGCCGTTTTTGGGCACTTTTTGGAAAATTTTGACAAAAAAAAACGCGTTTTTTGGCGCGCGCTCCCCCTCAAAACTAGTATATATTGGCGCCAAAGGCGCCTTTAGAAAAAATTTAGGGTCGGTCGGCCAAAATTGGATTTCTTAAAAAGTACCAAAGGGGGGACCCTTTGGGTTGGCAGGGGTTCGAATCCCTGAGGGAAGGGGGGCGTCCGCCCCACCCGCCCCCCCCCCTAAATCCGCCCCTGGTTGAGTGAATGCATGAATGCATGAATAATTTGGGTTGAGTCAGTTGAAACGGACAAAGCTTGAGTTGGGCACAGACAAACACCAATTTCTCCAGGTGATACCGTCAAAGTATAACTAGTTTCGAAACTTGGTAGTTTGAGTTGCACACAGTTAGCTTGTGTTGAACACAGGCAAACACGTTTTTTTTGGTCGAGTCCATGTTAACATAGCAAGTTCGAGTGAAACACAATTGGTCCCATTTTTCTCCAGTCTAGACAGTCGAAACATTAAAAGTTTGGATTGAGTCGTTTTAAACATAAGTCGAACACCTCAAACATCAGTCGAGCGCCCAGCGGTTCAAATTGGAATATTTCTGGTCAAATTAACTGGAATTATCTACGTTTGATTGCCAGGGTTTCAACATAAAACCACTACCCTCGGTCCGGTGATGTCAGTCGCCAAAAATAGTTTGTTTTGCGAGCTAGATAGAAAATCTCAGCAAATTATACTTTTTCAATCATTAAGACTGTTTTTACCAGGAAGACGCCAACCCTGTGGAAGTCTATGACTACAATGGCTAAGACAGGGTGGACCAACCTTACCAACGACAACTCCCCCCAGGAGCTGGAGAATGCAGACCCATACGAACTGAACAGAGACGTGTTCGACAACAACATGGAAAAACTGAGGAATGTATGGACGAACGACAGGTGAGACCACCACGTGACTAAACTCAATTAAAAAAAAACGAGTGTTTTAGAAGAAAACAATTGATACTAATTCTACTACTAAACAGCTCCTTATCTTGATTACAATAAATGGAGAGGAGATTTTCATTTGTGGTTTTTTTTTCTTCTTCCTCGAAAATCAATTTCAGGTTTTGCGTCTTGTGATATATCATTTAAGAGCCCTTTCAGTCGATGTTTCCGTGATTTGGCACTAATTAATTTAGCTTCAAATAATTTTGGTCAGCTTTGAGAAAAACTGGACTGATTTTTTTTCTTCACCCAGTTAAAAGCGAGTGATTCAGCGAATCCGTTGTTGCCGAAATTACCAACTAAGCTCGGATAAATTCTTGTTTGATTTATTAAACAGGTATTATGAAAACGTTTTTTTTTTTCCCATATGAGATCTGGTTTTCTTTTTTTTTTTTTTTTTTTTTTGAGACGCTTTTTCGAAAAATTCGCTTTCCCAAAAAACTACCCGTCAGATTCTCATAAAAGTGGTACCAATGCATTCAGTAGCGTTTCACCTACCTGCCTGCATGAAATTTAGGGCAATTTTTACCCTACCCCACCCCCTACGGTCTTAGAAAAGCTTCACAACTCGGTACTTTTTTCACTTTTTGCCCATTTTTTCGTAATTTTTCGATTTCCTCAAAAACTACCCGTCCATATTTGGGATTAAGGGTTTAATCGATAGACCAGGTTGTAGGAAACTCCCATGCACAAGCGGCTGGTCCCTAATTTGCTTAGGGGAAGAGCTATAGACTTAGGAAAAGTCACTTTTTTGATTTTTTTGCATATTTTTTCGGAAATTATCGATTTCCTCAAAAACTACCCATCCAGATTTGGAATTAAGGGTTTAATCGATAGACCAGGTTGTAGGAAACTCCCACGCACAAGCGGCTGGTACTTAACTTGCCTAGGGGAAGAGCTATAGACTTAGGAAAAGTCACTTTTTTGACTTTTTTGGCCTTTTTTCAAATCTTTCCGATTTCCTCAAAAACTACCCGTCCAGATTTGGGATTAAGGGTTTAATCGATATACCAGGTTGTAGGAACCCCCCATGCACAAGCGGCTGGTCCCTAATTTGCTTAGGGGAAGAGCTATAGACTTAGGAAAAGTCACTTTTTTGATTTTTTTGCCTATTTTTTCGGAAATTATCGATTTCCTCAAAAACTACCCATCCAGATTTGGAATTAAGGGTTTAATCGATAGACCAGGTTGTAGGAAACTCCCCCGCACAAGCGGCTTGTCCTTAACTTGCCTAAGGGAAGAGCTATAGACTTAGGAAAAGTCACTTTTTTGACTTTTTTGGCCTTTTTTCAAATCTTTCCGATTTCCTCAAAAACTACCCGTCCAGATTTGGGATTAAGGGTTTAATCGATAGACCAGGTTGTAGGAACCCCCCCCCCCTACACAAACGGCTTGTCCCTAATTTGTCTAGGGGAAGAGCTATACACTTAGGAATAGTCAATTTTTCAGTTTTTAGGCCATTTTTTCAAACTTTTTCGATTTCTTCAAAAACTACCCATCCAGATTTGGGATTAAGGGGTTAATCGATAGACCAGGTTGTAGGAAACTCCCCTGCCCAAGCGGCTGGTCCTTAATTTGTCTCGGGGAAGAGCTGTATACTTAGGAAAAGTTTTTTAAAAAGTTTTTTGGCATTGGAACAAAGATTCAATATACTTATTGTGTGTATTTTTTAGACAATGGAATCCGCTATGCTTACGTTTTCTCGCTTTTGCTTGGTGCTATTGGCTTTGTGTTGAGTTTTTTTGCATGGTTCGAAGAAGTCCAACGAGAAGTTGCACGAGTTACGCTAGTTCTCTTTAATCAGGTCGGTTTGTTCCAGAACGTTTTTGTGATGTCAGTTATATTCAACATATTATAGTCATATTTGCAATGCTTGGACAAAATTTAATTAATTCGAAAATTAAAGAGTCGTTAGAAAAATGAAAAATACTTTATTTCATTAATGTTAGCTGGTTTGTGAAACACACATTTCACTTAATTCTAGTGAATAATTATTCACATTGTTGACGCATTGTGCATATGATTTTATTTTAAATATATTTAGCATGTAACCATGATTGATACGGTTTGCCTTGTCGCACTGTGAAAGGCCCGTTTAATTCACATCACGGTTGAAAACCTCATGAAAACTTTTTACCAAAGCGTTACCAATGAATGCATAAGCTTCTCTTTCACTTTTTTTGCGTAGGAAGGGCGCTATCGACTTGAGAAACCTGAAATTTTAAAACAATTTTAAAATAATCAATATTAAAATAATCAAACAGGTCTCTCCAGCTTTCAGCTGGGCCCCTAGTTTTTTTTGCACAAAAATAGTCAGACGCTCAATATATTATATTTTTACTGAGTCATTCCGCTTCAATTTCATTGCGTTTCTGCCAGCTTTAACCCTAACCTCGGCTCTATAATTCAGAAAAAAATGATTCTGATTCTGATAATATAATACTATAATGGCGAAACTGATATCATGCGTTTAATCGAGGCACCAGGTTGTGGGAAGCTCCCTGTATAAGCGACTACGCTTTAAAAATTGTCAGAAACTTGAAACGTTGTGAAGCCATATTATTGAATATTTGAAATTACCCATTTCATCCCGAATCAGTACAAGTTAATAACATGTCAAACAGGTACCTCCAGCTGCAGCTAGGAGTTAGAGGCCTAGTTTTACTTAGTTAGAAGCCCCTAGTTAAATAACTTTATTAGTTGCAGGGACAAGTTAAACAGCAGCCTCAAGATCCACGATGTGCATGGCCTCTCCCCACTGCATCTGGCGTTCCGCATGGGCAGACTGGAGTACTTGAAGTTGTTTCTGGACAAGGCCGACCCCCAGTTCTTCCACATATCCACCAAGGCCCCTCCCCCTTTGAGGTGGACAGTGTTGGATGAGGCTGTAGTGCTGGGAAACAGGTACTTACGAACAGATAACTAACAAAGAACAGATACCCCCCACCTAAACTAAGACTTATTGACATGGTTCGATTGCTATGAAATTGGCATGCTGACTAATTAGACTATTCTAATTTCCACAGAAAAGATCAGGTCAGGTGTGGTCTTTCTGCATTACCTTTCAAAACTGTTAACTCCACTACAAAAATGATGCTTATGTTTGGAGGAAGGGTGGGAGCCTATCAAACTATTAGCAAAAAATGTAGCAAAATATGAACTTTTTGGCATGTACTTTATTTAAGAAACGTAGTTTAGTTTACAAAAAAAAACATCTTGGGTTCTAAAAATAAGTCAAGCCATCAGCAGACAAATCTATCGGTCTCTGAAAAGTCTGAAATGACTGATTGTAGCAGGTCGAGACGGTCTGAAAAAGTTCAGTCGCAATAGTCTCATCACAAAACCATAACCTTGGGAAGTTTGGTACCAAAATAATGATAGTTAGTTTTTTCTTTTTTTTATAGCCACCAAGGCTATATTATCAAAAATGACCATCAGCGGTATATTTCTATATATGGTTTAACAAAAAAGAGGAACCGTGTATTTATCACAGGGAATTCATCAAAGCTGTACTGAAGCTTCGAACCAAACACTCTTCGCAAGTTGCCGATGACAAGTGTCCGTTTGCAGAGAAGGTTCTGGACGGAACTAACGACGCTTACTTCCAGGTATCACAGTTCAAGATAGTGTTTTAATTGCAGGCCATGCTAAAATCTAAAAAGTAACAGTTATCCGGAACCGAAGATTTTAAAAAAAATTATTTTGAGTGTTAAAATTGGTTAGCTTACCAGTTTTTTAACCAAATTTGACTCTTTTTCGTCGGTGAGATCCATAAAATATCACATCGTTGTTTCAGATCAAGTGGCGAGTCAAGTCGTGGATTCCACTGGTGTCTCGGTTTCTGCCGAACGACACAGTCACTGTGTTCAAGAAAGGGTCTTCTATTCGACTGGATACTGGGCTGAGCTTGGGCCAAAAAATTGTGAAACTAAAAGGGAGCGATGCGTTTTCTTTTCTACAGTAATTTAAAAATCTATAGAAAACTTCGTAACGAACACAAACATTAAAGAGTAACAAGCTGTTAAGTTCTTTTTCTTAAAGAATTGTTACTTTCATTATAGCTTTCAGATGATATTAAAAAATCCCGGGTCAAAAAATAGATAGTTAAAAGTCGAAGTTTGCCGAGAAAAAAAGCACTCGTGCTCACATATTCCGTCACGAAAGTCGGAACAAAACATAAACAAAAGAAAAGGACATCTAATTTATATCTAATGAATCAGCACCGACTGAGAAACGCTCAACTCTTTTCCATCCTTTTTTTAGAGAATTAAATTTATACTGTAATCAGTGATTTTACAATGCTATGAATGAGGACCAATTATGCTTAGAATATAGTAATCAGTTCACATGTAAAACTCCGTTACAATCAGGCAAAGCTACAGAATTCTTCTTGTAGATTTTTATTTGGGGGAAAGAGGTGAGAGAAAATAGCAAGCAAGGAGAAAAACTCCTTTTGTTGTTCATCGACTCCCTTGGATTACCAATTAAAACATTATTTACTATTCTATAATTTACCATATGAAACTTACCATTTCATAATTTAACATTTCGAGTTTATAATCTAAAAGATTCACCGTTTTATAATCTAACTCCCACAATAAACTGTTCGAGTTTATAATCTAAAAGATGTATCTCATCACTCCGTATACAAAACTACAGGCCACACAACGATTCTCTACAACACGGAAAAGTATGGCAAAAACTGCATATTGGTGATCGACCGAGTTCGCAATCTGTACAAGAAAGAACACTTCGACAAAGAGCCAACTGACGAAATGCTGGAGGAGAAGATTACTGACTTGTTGAGCAAACCAGTTGAGAATATTAGTTTGTGTTCCAAGGAGGTTAAATTCGCAGCTGAGACAAAGAGGGGAAAACTGAAGTTTGAACAGGTAAATTGTGTAAATTTGCTTTCCATTTTTTTCACCTCGCAAAATCAAATACAAAAACTAAAGGTTGATTTGAGGTGGAGGTATAAACAAAATTAAATCCCTTTCCGTCGCGTTCCTTTGATGCATCAGAAGGTCCATAAAAGTTTCTCAACAGCTAGAAAACCGGTTTGATAAGATTGCTTTTTAGGCCAATGAAACTGAAGAGTGAAATGTCACACTTGATATTGATTTATTTAAAGCGTAAAGCCTATAGTAGTTTGTGATAGTTTATTGTTTTGAGTCTCGAAGACAAGCATGGGGGAACCGAGGGTTTTATAGGCAATATTCAAACTTTTCAAAAACTTCCTGCCGATTTCAATTTCAAGGGTTTAATAAAAGGGACAGAGTGTAAGCATTTTTTCACCAGTGGCTTCATTGTGGACCGTTGTGGGCGAAAGAAAGTACAATTTTTAAAAGTTTGCTTGTACCCGATCTGAAAACAACGGTTGACTCAAGTTTCTGGAAACCTCCCAGGCAATTTTTTTCGACCTACTAGTTTTTAAGATAATTTTTTATCCACGAGGGATAGGACCAACATACGAGCTGTACAGCTCATCACGGCGAACCGCTGTTGTGCCCCTGCTTAAGAACTACATGCAATTTTTTTTTTGGTTAATTTTCTGGGCTGGGTAATGTTGCCTCACCCTCAAGCAACGAGCACGGATCATGGTGGGCCTCGAACATCCGACCTTTCGATTGAGAGGCGGAGACGTTAACCACTTCACCACTGCTCCCCAAAGACGTTGAAAGACGTTTTGGACTTGAAAAATTTCGAATGTTTGGCTTTCGAAAATTTCTCTTCCAATTTTGGGGTTGAATGTCCAACCGAAAAACGGGTTATATGGACCTTCCTTGAATAAACCGCTGCTCTCAAATTTTTGTAACTAAGCCGCTGTGGTCTTGGTATAATTCCTCATTTTTTGAAGTTTTCACTCATCTCAGAAACTACCTCAATCGAAGTTTTTCAAACTCTTCAATTGAAATAACCAGTTGGCGAGCTTCCCCTTAATAAAACGCTTCATAATATTTTGGTTGGAAAACCGTTATTGTTCCGACTTTCGTAACGAAAGTAACGGACTATTTGTGCTCGGGTGGTTTTTTTTTCTTCAGACAAATTTCGACTTTTTAACTAGCAATTTCTGACGGAATTTTTTTATATCATTCGAAAGCTATTGTTGTCCTGAGCTCAAATTTGAAAAGATATTTTTACCTGTGATCATTTTTTGTATAGTTATGGTGGTTTGAAGATTGCCATTTTGACCAATTCGGGACAATTAACGCGCTACATATTTCGCGCTATTAACACGTCAGCGGAGATTTAACCCCTCCTAAAAATCGATTGAAAAAAGCTTTTTGCCATAATAACTTTGTTACTAGGAACGAAATCTATCACTTTGTACTTTATATGGCGTGTGGGAGGATGATTTTTTTGTGTTATTACTACTCAATATACCTTAAAAGGCAGTCGGAACATCTAGGGCTTCGCCCTGATACTGAGTTATGACCGAAGTGTATAACTCATAGAGTAATTTCGGATAGGGTACACCGTCTGCTCGTCACGCTATCTTATTTTCGGCCGGATAGATTCGTGCAACTTCTTAGTCTAATACCGATCCTAATCTTACTCTTATACTTACTAGTCTCAGGGTGTTTAACTAGTCTCTGCTAGGCTCAATAGATTTAGGGTATACTGGTTTGTTGCGGCTGCTGAAGTTCTCTCGGAGAGACAACTAATTTCTAAGTTAAATTCAAATCTCTCTGGTGCTGAAATTACAAGTAATTTCAGCACTTACAAATAAGTGGGTTGTTAGTTAGATGGATCATGATTGGTTAATATTAAATACTTTACAGTGGTAAAATATCTAATTTATCCAATCATAAAATATAGTTTAGATCAGGTTCCACCCATCCGGGTTTTACAGAGTTTTTTAGAATAGTCTTTCTGCAATTCAAAGGATGGATGATGGACGTTGGTATTTGGCGAACATCTTATTTCTTCTGGGTTTTCTTATTAGAGAAGTCCCAGATTCAATCGTTGTGTCTTCTCAAGACAATGACTGGGTTTTCGCAACAAACTCAAATCTGATTTCAGAATGGTTGGCTATGACAGGTTTTTCCGTTTCATGTAGAGAACTTCTTTTGTGTTTGACCTTGTCTGGGAATGAATGGAGATTGTGTGTGGAGGGGATGCCTGGTTACTCGGATCTGTACGTATACTTGAACATCGAGGTGGTCATTGGTCTAGTTCAATGAAGTCCTTTTCTGCGAAGTCAAGTCGTACTCTAAATCCTTTGAGTTGTGATTGTGGGCGGCATATTGATTGTGGTTGGCCATTCTTTTTCGAGTGTAGTGGGTTCATTTTGTCTTTGGATGTTCGTCTTTGGTGTTGTATGCTGATCTATATACTGCAAGGTATAATTTACATTTTATAAAATTTTTATTAGTTTGGTGTTTAATTATGATTTCGGTTAGTTGTTTTCACAAAAACTTTTTGTTTTAGTTCGGTTATTTTGAAGAGTTACTCACCCTTGAGTAGCTCTTATTAAAAATAGGAGTGTGGTCACAAAGCGTGGATGTAGCACGGTGGGTTAGGCCGGCTATAGAGCATGCTCAGGACGTCCTCTTCTGGTGGGTTAGGCCAGGAGTGGGAGTATGATTGCATGCGGTTTTTGTGAGAGGTCCTGTTATGTGACAACGTTTTATGTTGGGTTTGTTGTGGTGTTTCTTATGTTTTGTTGGTTGTGTCCTTTTTTCAAAAATCAAATTGTTTTTGGTATGGGTTTGTCTTTCGACTTTTTTGTGTTTTATTCTTTCTTTCTTAGACTTTATAATAGTCTTCAAAAGAATAAATTATCCAGTTTTAAACTGGGTTAATCCGGTTTGGGTACCGTTGGTTTCCTTTTCTTAGTCATGCTGTTATTCTATGATTTGTGGTGTTTAGTAAGCTACGTTGGTTAGTGTTGTTTAGTATATAATTCCTTTCCAACCGGGTTAAGGGAAAGTTTGAAACGTGTTATCTTGTGTTAGAGCTGTTGTGTGTGAAAGCTTGAAACTGAAATTCATTATTTTAAACAATTCTTCGTGGGCGAGCTGTGCGAGTGTGGATAGAATTTTTGTGCGAATGAATGGAAATATCAAAAGGTTAGTACTGCATTTTCGTTTTTATCAATTTATTACATAGAAATTCAAATTTACTGCTAGTTGTTGGGGAAAATTAAGTTACAAATTTTCATCATTATTAGATTTACTGCATTTGGGAAAAAATTTATAAATTAAATTACTGCATTGGTATTATTTTTATTGAACTGTTTGGTGCAAAAAATTAATAGAGTTTTAAACAGTTTGAAGAAGTTTTCAATTTTTATTTTCTTTTGTGAATTTTTCAGATGATCGTTGGATGAAGGCTAAAATTCTAAAGAAAACATGAATAAAGAATGGTTAGTTTCTAATTTTAATTTAATTAGTTAATAATATGTATAATTCATATTTACCTGTTAGTCGTCGGGGAAGAAACCGTGGGGGAAGATGTCGTGGATGAGATCTGAAGTTGTTAGTAATTTAGCTAAGATGCGGATGATATTTTTAGTTTGAAGCAGTGGCCAAAGCAATTGAAGTGCTTTAATGGTGGTTAGTTCTTCAGTGCCAACTGCAAACTCATAAGGTGTGTTTTGGATTAGATTATATAATTTGTGATTGAATTTAGTGTTGTGGATGAATTCAAAAATGGGGATTTCTATAGGTTGAACAAATTTGTGTGGGAGAAGGAAGGGTCGGGATTCTTCTGCGTTGAAGGTCTTGGTGATGGGACAAAAAATATACATTTGGGTTATGGGATCATAATTTCGAAGAATACCATGAAGGTTAGTATCTTTAATGCAATATGTGAAGTTAAGAAAGAATGGTGAGGTGTATTTGGAATTGATGAATTGAAAACGGTGGTGTGGTTGTCTGGAGGGAGTGTGTAGGTCGAAGTGATTTTGGATAAAACGATAATATGTATATGTGTGAGTTTGTTTAGTGCGCAACATAATATCGTGTGAGCAGTGCAGATCTCTTTCATGCGGTGCAAGGAAATGAAAGGTTAGTGAAAATATTTGGAAGCGTTCTTTAAAACTTTCGTAGGATTGCGTGTCTATTAGTGCTTCTGAGATGATGTGGTCAAATTTGCGATCAAATATATTGAGTGTAAAAACATATGGTGTTTTGATGAAAAATTTTTCTGTGATTTGTGGGTTAGCGAAGCAGTCGTCGTCTAAGAAATGATCTTGGTTAGTTCTGATGATGTTATGATCGTAATATTCTAGCGTATATTCGTTAGCTCGGGGTGCAGTGTATGTTTTTAGTGATTTTTTATATCCTATGTAAGTAAATTGTCTAGGTGTTAGTGGTGTAGTGAGTCGATATAGCATGTCCTTATTTCGTTCTATATCGATGTGAGTGTTAGATAAAGGTAAGCAAAGGGGATTAGTAAAATGATAATATGAGGTCCAAGGAAGGGTAGGCATTAAAACGTGTTCGTCTACAAAGTTACGTGTTTCGTTAGTGTCGTGAGGGGTGTTTAAGGTGTATTGTGGAAATGAGGGTAAGGTGATAGCTAAAAATTCTTTTGTATTAGTGTGATTTGGGTGATTTATATATTCACGGGCTGTTCCTGGTTTTGCTGGGAAAGGATGGTTTGGGAACTTTCTTTTAAAAGTGCGGTAAGCTCTATTAGTGCTGAGTGAAGATTCGGTAGATGTGGATGATGGTGCTAATGATTTGGTATAAATTGAAGAGGGTGTAGGGGTAGGAGGGTTGGATGAATCTATTGTGGATGAAATTTGGTTTATGGTGGGGGTGTCAAGGTGGTAGGGTTGTTGTTGTAATGTAATAAAATTATCTAGTTCTGGGGAGATTTGGGGGGTATCTGGAGAATTGGATGATCGGTCTGAATGATATGAATTATAGGTTGGAGTGACTTG